ATCGGCCACGCCCGAACATTGAAAAGCCGGTGCAGTCGTCAATACCAGCTCAAACAGCCGCTCATCTTACTCAACGCTGCTTGCCACAGCCTTGGCATTGGTCAACTCCTCTACAACGCACCACTCAGCGCGTCTGCTCATTGACACAGGATCCGAGCTCACCTTCGTCTCGGAGAATCTCATCCGGCAGCTCAACATCCCTCGTCAATACTCAGGTATTGTCATCACTGGAATTGCAGGCAAGGAGTGTACTCGGACACGAGGAGTCGTGTCACTCACGTTACGCTCGACACATTCCAACGCAGCTGCCACAATACAAGCTCACGTCCTCCGGACAGTTACATCAATCTTACCATCGTTCAAGGCGGAACCGGAAGAATGGCCACATCTCAGGAACTTGGCATTAGCTGATCCTGATTTTCTCGTCCCACGGCCAGTTGACATCCTCATCGGCGCCGACGCTTACGGGCAAATCATCAAGCCCAATATCATTCGGCATTCTTCACTCATGCCGATAGCGCAACTCTCCATTTTCGGATGGCTCGTTCTTGGACCTGTCAATAGGGAAGCAACACGCACATCAACGCACCATGCTTCTACTCAAGTCAACGAGGATGCTCTCAACGAGTTACTGACAAAATTCTGGGTTCAAGAGGAGGTGCCTACTCACGATGTCAACCAATTCACTCCTGACGAGCAGAGGTGCGAAGAGCACTTCAAGGCTACACACTCTCGTGATTCTTCAGGGAGGTACGTCGTCAGGATTCCGCTCAAATCACCAGTATATCTTCTGGGTGATTCGTACCACGTCGCCCATCAGTGCCTCAAGGGACTACGCAGACGATTCTCAAGGGATGTGAACTATCAACGTCTCTATCAACAATTCATGATGGAGTACGAGACACTCAACCACATGACGAAGGCATCATCCATCTCCAGTCGTCGCTCACACTTCTACCTACCACATCACGGTGTTCTCAAGCCTGACAGTACAACAACGAAACTGCGAGTCGTATTTAATGGCTCCAGCGCATCAACATCGGGCTACTCTGCTAACGACCTCATGTATACTGGAGCGAAATTGCATCTGAATATCTCAGATGTTCTCCTCTGGATACGAAGACATCGACACATTTTCGCTACGGACATCA